CAGGCTGGGGTGTGAGTTGAGTTCACAACTTAGTCGATGAGTCTGAATTTTTCAAGTGAACTGAAGACCCAAGACCAAGCAGCCTTTTCAGTATTATTTCTCCTTTCTTGCCCCTTTTGCAAGCCCTGATTTGCCCTCTAGAAATCAAATTGCGATAAAGATACCCAATTCAGAGCATTGCCACAGCACTTACTCACTTTTATGTTGGTTTGCTCAGTATACGAAAGCAAGTATGACTCCCTTCCCGGACTCAAGCAATATACTTTCTAGTTGAGGTTTCTAGCAAGAGGCAATCAGCAATGGCTTTTTGGTCACAATGCAGCATGAGGAGGGAAACCCAGCATGCTGTGGGGACATGAGGGCCGCCTGGGAGACAGAGGTGGGGCTTGGACAGCAGCAGACACAGTTCCTCTGTGAGTCCCCAAAACATGTGCCCCACAAATCGGAGTTATGTTTTCCACTACCTTGGCTTAGATTAATATCCAGGAATTGTGTGATGAGGAAGGTCTTATGAAGGCCCCAGTGGTCTCCATTTAAAATTTGCATAGTGGGTTTATTTTAATTAGTTTACACTTCATTCTGAACACTCTTAAAATTCTCCTGGGCAGCTTTTTGGTTTTTTTAGCTGTCAAAATAGATATTCAAGTCTCCTGCCAACTATAAATCGAACGCTGTGCTGCTTGCTGAGTGGATTCAAATTCAGCTGCTCTAGTTCTCTTTAGTGCAAAATCTGAGTTATTAATTCCCATGGGAAGGAAAAATGGTCTTTTGTCAGAACTGACTAGCAAAAAAAAAAAAAAAATTTACAAGTGGGCCAATTATATTAGAACTTCCAAAAAGTTAAAGCAGGTTCCTGAAGATCTCTTGGACGATAGACAAAATAGTGAGTAGTGCGAGAGTTGTGTTTTCACCAAAACCAAAATTATTTTTCTTCTTCTTTCTTTCTAGATGGTCAGTGATGGCAACAAATATAAGCATGAAAGTAAGTTTGAAAATTACTGATCCTAAAATCCAGAGGAACAACCATCTGCAGCCACACTGCTCTAACAGGTAAGGAATCATCTGGCAAAACCTTTGAGGCTGAGCTGCTATGGGTGGCAGAGAGTGGGGACAATTTTATGACTGTCCCTTCTGACACCAGGTGAATCAATTAAGAATTAAAGACGTTGTTTGAATTAAACTAGCAGGAAGGAGGGTTCTCTTTTCCATGCGGCAGAAGGACTGTGATTATTTTCTGAATATTCAGTGAACATCCTTCCTTACTATTTGGAGTTCTGATGCAAGATCAGATAGGGTTCTCTGGTAACAGAGAGAAATAGAAACTGAACAAAGTAGCAGAAATATCTAAGTACTAAAAGGAAGCGGGAAACCCTGCAGACGCAAGTGAAGGCCAAAGTGAAGCCTGGGGACAACCAGCAGAGAGCAGGTCCGCTGGGGCACGTGTCTGTCTTGGCGCCCTGCTAGGAGAAACAGGACAGTCGCGGGAGGACACGAGAGTTGGCTCTCACGTCTGCACTTGGCAACTTGACTTTCAGCCCCATCAAAACTGAATACCCCGGGTGGAGTGAGGAATGGGATCAAAAATGGGGGTGGAAGTGCACTGGACTATGGTGATGGCACACGGGTGAATTGGTGGTGGGAAGCCCACAGGGATTACAACTGAGATGGAAAAGGCACAAAATGATGTAAAAATAATTATATTATTTAAGGGAAAAAAACTGAATGCCCTGGGAGAGGAGATTCCCCAAAGGTCAAGTGTTTTTACACAGAGGAAGGAGGTAGAAGCTGAATATTCAAAATTAAAAAAAAAAAAAGAATCTGCTAACACTAGTAGGTGTTGCACTGACTTGGCAGTGTTTGCTTAACTTTAAGTTTCGAAATTTAGGTCTCCAACTATCTTGTTTTCATCTTAAGGCAAAAGTTTAGAAATCCCAGTGTTACTGAGTTTAATTATTGCTCAGATCAAAGTCCCAGCATTCAAGACACTGGAACATTCACTGACTGTATCTTAGGGAGGTATCAAAATACTGAAAAAATAACTTACAATGAATAAAGGCACTTAGGCCCCCACCTACTGTGAAACACAAGTTCTATAGGGGGGGGAGGAAGGGGGATGGGCATTTCAGCAAGCTGGCCCTTCATCGTCACTGCTTTCCCTCCACTGCAAAGTGAGTGCTCAGTGTAATAAGCTGAACTGTATCCTTGACAAGTCCATGTTGAAATCCTAACCCCACGGTCTCAGAATGTGACCTTATCTGGGCTATTGCAGGGTTGCTGCAGGTCTAATCAGTTAAGATTGAGGTCATTAGGGTGGACGCTAACCCAGTAGGACTGGTGTCCATGTGGAAAGAGGGAATTTGGACACAGACATGCACGGAGGGCAGACTGTGTGGGGAGACACAAAGAGGATTCACCACAGAGCAAGGACCAGAATACCGCCCAAAGGAACCAATCCCCTTGGGGCCCTCTATGCAGAACTTCAGCCTCCGGAACTATGAGATAACAAATGACTGTTTTTTCGAAGGCATCCGTTCACCGCACTTCATCAGGGCAGCCCTAGCAAACAAATACATGCAACTTCAGGCTTTGCCTTTGCACTGAAAGCAGGAAGAAACAACTTGAGCAGAACATTCCTGATATCAGAAAGTCAAGAACTTACCCAGTCATCAGAATTTTCCAGTCCTGGGACCAGAACAGCCTCCACGACCCCATGAGCTGCTCAGAAGTCAGAAGACAGGAGCATTTAGCTTCCAGAGCCTTTGGAGGGCACGTGGGTGAAGGCAGATGGGTGGGAGAAGGGAGTGAAGTGGTCTAGGAGGCAGAGTTAAGGCTGACACTGTCCCCTTTGAGGTGACTTTCTGCAAGGCAGTCCTGTGCGCTTGGGGCAGAAGCAAGCGTGGCTTTCACGGCAAGGCTGAGGCATATGCAATCACAGGTTTTTCCTACGCTTCCTCGTCAGCTCATTCAGTTGGCTGGAACCAATGTCCTTTCACATCTCTGGCAGCCCTAGCTCAATTCTTTCATTCATTAAAAAAAGCCAACCTGCCAATGAGTTAGCACTGAAAATTCACTGGAGTGCTGTGGTCAGGACACAAGAACAAAAACCCCAAGGCAGGCTGGCCTCCAGGGCCGACGGCAGGGCCTATGCCGGAGTCCTCTTGCGTGGTCTCAGTGGGAGTTAGGACAGGGCCCGAGACTGCTGATGTGGCACCTGTGGCAACAGCTCCACCTCCCCTCCCTTAAAGCCCTGACACTGTCACTGCTGTGACCAGCTCCCTCTGCTGATGGGATGGGGTGCTGCTAGAACATTCTGCCTGTCACCTAACTCCCTGCCAACATCTGCTGTCTCAAAGGCCCACCAGTTGGGCCCAGTCTGGGACTATCCACGCTATTTCATCTAACTTTCCATATATTCATGTCCTTACTACTGTCCGGAGCCAAGCCTGTTTAAGGCATGCACCCCAGTGGGAGTGGTGGGCCCCAGTTGGAAACCACAGACATGGGGTCCCAACCTTATACCCACTTCTACAGCTGCTATTAAAGAACCCCAAGAGACAGACACTGTCAAGTGTTGGTGAGGATGTGTAATTAGAAACTTTGTGCACTGTTGGTGGGAATATACTCTGTGGAAAACAATTTGGTGATAACAAAAAATAGAATTACCCTATGATCCAGCAATTCCACATCTAAGTATATACCCAGAAGAGCTGGAGCCAAGATCTTAAACAGGTATTTGGTCACTCATGTTCATAACAGCAATATCCAGACACCAGAGGGTAGAAAAAACACATGCCCATCAAACACAGGGATAAGCAAAGTGTGTCTACCCATACAGAGGAATAATATGTTAAAAGGAGGGAAATTCAAATATATGCTACATACATGTCGCCAGGACATTATGCAAAGTGAACAAGCCTGTCACAAAAAGACATATGCTGTAAGGTTCCTTTCATAGAAGCTACCAGAAGTAGTAAATCCAGAGACAGAAGCAGTGGTAGCCAGAGTGATGGGGGAAGTGGGGAGAGAGAGAGAGAATGTAGGGGAGATGCAGGCAGAGTTAGGAGAGGCCAGGTGTGGAGTCACTGGGGAGAGTGGGAGCCACCTCCCCACCGCCCAGGGGAGTAATGCCAGGGGCGCTGACTCCCCTCCGTCCTAGTACTTCCCAGCACTGGCCACTGGCCCAAGGTGAGTCAGAGAGTTAAGAAACCCAGCAATGGAGGTTCTGGGGGACTGTGCCTTCTTGAGGTGGCTCTGGCCTAATAGAATAGACCATCTAGTGGCTCATGAGCTCCTGGGTCTGGCAGTCTGATGAAGTGATAGACAACAGCGAGGTGATGTTAATCTTAGCTTGTGCTCAGTACCACAAAGTAAACCTGGAACTATGAGAGAGTGAGGAGGGGCACTCTAAGAACTGCCAGAGAAGGTCTCTGCAAAAATGACACTGAGCAGATGCTAAAGAAAGAAATTTAAGAAACTGGTTCATCAATCTGGGGGAGCAGAATGTCTGATTTCTTGAGGACAGGCTGGAGGTCCAAGGAGGAGTTAGGGTTCCAGCCCCAGTCAGGGGCTGGGGATAGAACTAATTCCCTTTTCCTCAGGGCATCTCACCCTGTTGGATGTGGTCCCCCCTCATGATGGAGGATAATCTGCTTTACCCAGAGTCTATTGATTTAAATATTACTTACATCTTTTGTAAAATACCTTTATAGCAGCATTTAGACCAGACACCAAGGCCCAACTAAGTTGACACATAAAATGAACTATCACAGGCACCACTACCAAACTGGACTAGCATGTGACTCTTACACAGAGCTACTGAATTGAACAGTTTGTGTATACCTTGCCCTTCCTTTTGCAGAGAGAAGAAAATCCCCCTTTGCCATTGCATCTGATCAACGGGAAGTTCTAATCTGTGTGAAGAAAGCTGCACCTCACTCTTCCAGAGCCATCACCCAGCGGGCCCCCCCTGCTGACCCTGGGCCCTTCCCAGCTGGCAGACGATGCAGGGCAATAAGAAGTGCACCGACGGCTTCAGCGACACCTCAAGCATCGGCAGCGTGCTGGACGATGCCGACAGGGAGGTCAGCAGCCTTACTGATCGGGCGTTCCGGAGCTTGTGCATCTCAGAGGACATGTCCTTCCATGACTCAGACCTGGCCCTGTCCCCAGATACCAGCCGCCAGGTGTTTGGAAATTTTCACCAGGGAACAGTGAGCCACACCCACAGGAAAAGTGGCATTTGGACCCAGTTACCGGCGCAAGGCACCGAGCATGCGGGCTGGGCAGCCACATTCCAGCAGCAGCCTAAGTATGTTCAAGGGGAGGAAAAGTACCCCAAAAGCAGCCCCCCGCTGACACCAGTTCAGAGGAGGCTGGAGCTGCCAGTCTCTGGCCTGAGGAGCAGCAACAAGCCGGGTTCCAAAGTGTCGTCCCTAATTAAGTCTTTTGACGGTGCTGAGAGCCAGCGCTGTGACAGCAGGCCCCCTACCAGCAAGCCTCCATCTTTCAAAAATCCCCCCAAATTTGCCCCTCTTCCAGAAAGTGGTGTCAACTTCTGCTTCGATTCTGCCTTCCTGACCGTCAGGAGAGTGCCCGCTGAGGTCTCCAACACCCATCAGAACAGCCACCAGTCCGGCAGGAATCCTGGTGAGCAAGAGCCCCCCAGCAATCCTGACCTAGCCTGTCACGGCTCCAGCAGCTTCCTCCCAACGCCTGAGGATGCTGCCAACTCATTTGAGTCAAGGTTCCCCTCCCCCCACCACAAGCCAGTTGCTGGTGAGCCTGGGCGAGGCAAGGAGTGGGTTCACAAGGGGACCTTTCTTCACAGTGAAAATAGTGCCTTCGAGTCCTGGAATGCCCACCAACCGAGGCTGCTTGAGAGAAAGGATGTGACTGATGCTGCCCCCGAGAGCAAACCCCCCAAACCCTACGAGGACACGGCCTCGTCAAGAGAGCACAAAGTCTCTCCCTGCCAAGGGCGGACCAGCTGCAGTCAGGAAGAGAACCGACGGGCAGGAGGAGCTGTCGCCACATCTGGAACTTGGGCGTCTAGGGACCCAGGGGCCCAGGGATTCGCTGTGGAGGGAAAAGCTCCCAGCTGCCAGCCTGAACCTCAGATGAAGTCAACCCAGGTCCCATGGAGGAAACCAAAGACTGGCAGGGTTGGTCAACGAGGACAAGAAAATCTGCAAGAAACTTCAGAAGAAAGGAAGCAGACTAACAGGAGAGGCTCGGGCTTGTACAGCAAACACAATCCCCAGGGGCAGTTCCCAGAAAATGATGTTCTTGACATACCTGCTGAACCCGATGAGCATTACAGTCCACCGTTTAACATCAGTAAGCTTCTGACCCCCATCATACCCACTAAGCACGTCCTGGATTCAACCGACAGCCTGCCCAAGGAGCCCACCCCCTCACCCCCAGGACAGATAAATGGGTTCCAAGAGAAGGAGCCCAGTGAAGGTCAGTCTCGGGACAGCTACAAGTCCAAAGCCGCTAGCCTGCTCTTCAACCTCAAGGATGTGCGCAAGTGTGTCAAGAGCACATACAGCCCCTCTCCCCTCTTGAAGGGTCTGGATGAGAAGACCAGAAGCAAGCAGGAACCCGTGAGCAACGGCATCATCCTTCCCAACGGGTGTGAGGAAAGCCCTCCGGGTGAGCTTTCCAAGGAGAGACCAGCTGATGCCCCTTCCGGGCCACATGCCAGTACCCAGAAGGACCCCGAAGCCAGCCCCACCGTCGCCTCTACAGACAGCTCTCTAACTCTGCGTTCACCTCCAACTGCTGCCAAAGCCCCCTCCTGTGTCAACGGGGAGCCGGCCGACAGAAGCAGTTATGAGAAGGATAATGCTGACAGCGCATCGGATGTGGGTGCCGCCAGGTCCAGCTGGTGCCTGGACTCCACGGAACACTGCGCCCGGAAGCACCTGTCACTGCTGCTTTGCCCTAGAGAGCCTGAGGCCAGGAAGATGGCAGAGGAACCCGAGGCTCCCAGCCTAGAGAATGGGTTTGTGGGGTCTATTTCTCAAGAGACAGAACCTGAGAGAGAGGCAGGACTCCAGGATCCAAACTTCAGTCAGAAATTCTCCCCAGGCCCCCTCTCTCCTGAGGAGGAAGATGTGTTCTATAGCGACAGCCAGTCTGATTTTACGCCAGGCCTCAAAAGTAAGGCCAAGTTCAGCACTAGCTCTTCAGACCAGTCCTTTGCCTCGTTTGAGGATCAGCAGAAGACCTGGTTCACTGAGAGCCAGCAGGAAGACAGGAGGAACCATGTGGGTGCAGGAGACGGTCAGAAGGACCAGGAGAATGTGATGGGGAAAGATGAGCTGAAGAGCCAGGCCCTCGGTGATGGGGATGCAGGCACCGAGCAGCTTAGCCAGGGGGCATCCCTGCCAGAGGAAGGGGAGAATTTGTCTGGAGGGAGACCCAGGAGGGAACCTAGGGAGGAAGAGCATTTCAGAGGCAAGTGGATTGGGCGAAGTAAGGATACCGCCTTGTCCTGTGCCAAAGACCTTACCCCCGCGCCATCTTCTGCTTCAAACAAGCACAAACTATTTGCAATTAAAGACAACACCCTCAGGGCCACCCCCGTGATAAAACCCATCATGCTGCCCCTCTTGAGGACTCTGTCCTCAGAGGATCCCTTTGGCAGTAGTCACAGAGAAGGGGAATTGCCGAGACCAGGCTGGGGTGAGGATGCTGGTCTTTGTATCCCCGAGAGCCAGGTAAGGCGCGGGGCCCCAACACCTGCTAGCAGGCAGGGCACACACTTGAAGCACGTGGGCGGTGGGAGCTTGGAGGACCTCGGGCAGGTGCCCAGCATGGTGAGGACAGGGATTTCTCAGCCAGCTCTAAAAGGAAATGTCCCATTTCCTCCTTTCCTGGATGGGGGTGAAGGGGTAAAGCCACCCCCAGAGGCTACGTGGGAAGGTGTGGTGAGTGATGGCAAGAGAAATTCCACAGAGGAAGGGAGACCGGACGCTCCAAGGTCCATCCCCACAATTGCTCTGCCTGAAGGTGACTTAGAAGACCAGCCACCCCCACAGCAACTTGGAGCCTGCTGGGAAGAGCAAGTGCAAGATTTCAAAAGTCACTTCTTATCCACACCAAGAATAGGGCCCCAGGGGAGAAGACTCGTCCCCAGCGAGTTGGCAGCTTCCCCCAACTCCAGCTCCCTGGACGAGAGCAGCGCATGCTCCCCTGCTGCCAGCAGCGTGTGGGACAATGCTTCCCAGGCCCCCAGTGAGCTGGGCCTGCTGTCAGGGGATGCCCCCCATGCCAGCCCCTGGGCCAGCCCCGGCCCTGCCAGGGTCACCCGGAGGGAGGACCTGACACACGCCCTCATGTGGGAGACTGACCATGACCCCCTTCTCGAGCCATCAGGAGAAGACTTCAGGACACTGTCTCCAAGAGGCTCATTGCTGGATGTGGCCACCAGCTCATCGGGCCTCCCTGAGAAATCAGAGCCTCCTGCTCAGCTGGAGAGGGCAGCTAGCAAGCCACCTGCTGTCCCACCCAAAACTGAGAAGGCCCTGCGGCGGGCCAAGAAGCTGGCAAGCAAGAGGAGAAAGACTGACCAGATGCAGGCAAAGCGTGGGGAACCCTGGGAGGAGAAGCCCCGCCCAGAGGACGCAGGGTGCAGGCCTCTGTCTCCAACAGAGAGGCCCCAGGCCAGGTTGGGTGCTGTCCGTTCCCTGCCCCCTCCCATGCACCGTCACTCAGTGTCTGCCTTCTCAGAACCCATCAGGAGGCAGCCTGGAGATTCCCAGTCCTTCACGCCCCTACCCCCTTACCCTGCCACCCAGAAGGTTCTGCAAGACCCCCAATCTGGAGAGTACTTTGTCTTCGATCTGCCCCTCCAGGTGAAAATCAAGACCTTCTATGACCCGGAGACAGGCAAATACATCCAGGTCTCTATCCCATCATCTGAGGGGCGCTCCCCAGAGCCGCCCCCACCAGACACGCTCGCTGCTCCCTACATGCTGTACCCGGGCTTCCGAGCCCTGCCCGTAACGGCCTTGACGCCTCTACGCTGCTCCTCTCAGCTCTCGGCGCCCACCTTCCTGAGGCAGCGCCCACTTGGCATGGAGGCAGACGACTCCGGGGCCCAGAGTTCCTGCCATGTAGCCCCTGGGCCTCACGGTGACCCCACCCAGCACCCTGCAGGCGAGTGTCCCGAGGGGCCTCCCCAGAGTCCAGGGGAGGACGGGGAAGCTGCTGCAAGCCTGGCCATCATCTCCACCAATGACCTGGAGGACTTTGCCACGGAAGGCATTTCTTGAGAATTACAGCAAACGAAACAGCCCCTCCCATTAACCTAGAAGAGCTTACTTCCTCCTACCCAGAATAATCAACCACTTATACCAACACATCAAACACATACTTGGCCATCTGAGAGTCCTAAAATCCCAAAGGAAGGGGGGATCCTGAGAGTACCCCACCTGGTGGGCCCCCTCCCTGTATAAGGCTGCTGGCCTGGCAGGCCCCTTCCTGCCTCTTCCTAGTCTGGCCCTCTCCACTCCTCTCCCTTCCCTTCCACCCTGCCATCCTCTGACCCTGCCACCAGGACAGGCCCACCCCGACTCCTAAGTGCTGTTCTACTCCTGAACCCCAACTCGCCCCTTCTCACAGGGGCTTACAGAAGTACTACACTAAGCTGAGCCTGGCCCACCCAGCACGCCCCCTCTAAGTCAGGCCAGGCACAGACAACAGTCTCTCTCTCTCTCTCTCTCTCTCTCTCTCTCACACACACACACACACACACACACACACACACATACACACCTGCACCCCAGCTCATCTCGGGTAGAAATGGCTGCCCCAATGCAACCTTGCAGAAATGTTCATTTGAATAGGATGGGTGTTCTTTACTCAAGGAAACTTTCTTCCGGAGGCTATTTTCTGATAAAGAAAAGGCTACCTTTTAAAAAGTGAAACAGATTGCAGGTGTGGTTCTGTCACTGGACCTCTGCCTCCTCTGTGGGCAGTGCAGGTGTCCACTGTGAGTCCAGGCTGAGGGCCAGGGCAGTGCCCCCTCCTGTCGAGGGAGACTAGCCACAGGGGCCTCATGCTGGAACAGGGCAGCCTCAGCACCGCCTGCTGGGCCCCTCCTCGATGCTTTAATGCGTGTCCATATGTCTCAGGGCCTGGCTTCTACTCGTGCTCTCAAGGCAGAGATGAGGAGGACCCAGGCACCCAGCAAGGACAGCCCAGGGGGGCGGGGGTGAGTCACATCCCAGCTGTCCACATTCAGTGACCAGCACCTATACTCTGCATCAAAAGACAAGAGTATCTTCCCCAAGTCCCTGGTCTGTGGAAATTGGAAGGGAGAGAGCTGACTCAACTCAGGGTTGCAGGGTGCCTGGGTGGCAGTCGCGGCCTCCTCACCTCTGGCAGTATGGAGGGTCTGTGGGAAGATGCTGCTGGGGCAACCATGCTCAGTAGGGAAGTGGGCTGCAGCTGGCGATCGACACCCCACCCCCCCGCCAGCAGTGTCCACAGAAGCCTTTTAGTTCCTGTGCTGTGGGAAAGACAGAGGCAGCAAGCACCTCCCTCCTTGCTCAGAAAGGGTGGCTGTCAAGTCCATTGCTGGGACCGTGCCACCCATGTCCCCAGGGACCACACTAAATGCATCATCCCTCTTTCTTCAGTAAAGATACCAACTCCAAGCTGGAGAAATAGGATGGCATCCAACTTACAACACCCTCCTTCCCTTCCCAGGCATGCACAGATAGAGGGACTCTGACAGCCACTTGCTTAATTTCATCGTGAAAAACTACACGGCCCCCCAGCCCCACGCCATTAGGTTGGTCTATATCTAGTGCGTCAACTAGACAATGAGCCAGGACCACAGGCAAGTCATTGTCTGAGAAATCCGGACCCCATGATTCACCTGTAGGGGTGCAAGTAACAGCGTGAAGTAGTGATCTGGACTCAGCCACCAAATCACTATGCATCCTCTATACCTTCTTTTCGTTTCACTAAAATAGGAAAAGTACTGCCTTGTTTTAAAATTCTTGGAGCCCAGGAAAGTAATTGGCTAACAAAAGAAGAGTCCCTCTGTTAAGAAACAACCATAGTTACTTTCCACAAGGAAAAATGTGCTTTACCTAAGGAAAGCTTCTGTTTGGGGAAGCAGGATCTTCTATCCTCGAAGCAACCGAAGCAGGTTCTTGATAAAACTGAAAGCATAGAGATATTTGGCCTCTTTGCTCTTGTGGATGCAAAAGAAGAATAGGGCATCTGGTGGCAACACCCACTCACATCAGAGGAGAGGGATCCTCCAGCCACATCAGCCAGAAGTCAAGTCACTTACAGCCAAGTTCTGTGTTCCTGAGAGGCAGTAATGCCTCCAACGGACAAAATCGCTGCACACCAGTTCATTCTTTCTGGTTGTGGGTACAGGGGTAGTTTGTAGCTCCCCACCCCATCTTCCTTCCTTTCCTTTTACAAACATTTTCAAACTTCCTCCTCTATGCCAGGCACTTCTCTGAGGACTGAAGATACTGTGGTAATAAGATCTGTTACATTAAGTTAGAACAGGGAAGAAAGGCAATTTACAATCCCACGTGGTAAGTAATTTAGGAAGTTTCTGAGGAATATCTAGCTCAGTGGGGCGATGGGGGAAAGCTAAGAGGCTTTCTATGGGGAATTATACCTGATTCAGGAAATACAAAATCAAAATTAAAAAAAACAGAATTTTCTCAACTTTAATCTATCAAATGAAGATGACATTTATTAAATACTAATAGAATTGTCTTTTCATATCAAAATATATTGACTTGCCTAATTATTTGTTAACATTTTTAATTGGCACAAGAGTAGAACCAGTGTAGCCTCCAAGAATAGATCTTTGTTGATATATCCTTCAGTTGCTGAGTTGGCAGTTCACTGACTGGAGTTTCCCAGAAAAAATATATATATATTATTTCTGCCATTGTATTTAAATAAGATTTGTGTTGAGAACTGTGCAAATATATAGTTCGTGTAAATTGTAGATAAAGGCTATGGTTATATCTTCTATTTAGTGTACTGACCCTTTACTCTGAATTATGACCACACTAAGTATCTGATGGGGAGGGGACATGAATATAGAGTACCTCAAGGAAATAATCAAAGTTCCTAAGGCTACTCATTAAGAAATGACCAAGAACTAGATCATATGCTATGGCCCAGCTTCTAAGAGTGGAGCTGTAAGCCTGATGTAAATCCTCACAGAAAAATGAGAAATACCCTCGGCAGCTTCATGTCAAGGAAGAAGAGCCACTGAGATGTGAAGCAACTCCCAGCAATCACTAAGTGAGGAGCCAGGCTCCTCACACTTCTGAGGGAATGCTTTCCACCCCCCACAGTGCTGTTCTGAGTTTGTGTCTAGCCAGCAGTCTCCACCGCACAGGGAACTGGCTTGAGACTCAGAATCTGAATCTACATGTTCACAAGGTCCCCTGCAATTCATCTGCACATTATTCTTTCAGAAGTGCTATCAGCCTCTAGCTTGAAGAGGAGAAAAGTTTCAGGGAGATAGATCAATTTCTTCATGTCTCTACAGCATCACGGGGTGGGGAGGGGAGAGAACAGAGACACTTAGCTGTCTGGGAAGGCGGTTGCAGGGACACCCACATACCTGCTGCAAAAAAGGCGTCTCTGATGCCTGGTGCCCTCACACGGTGTAGCGGCTTGGGGGTAACTGAGCTCCCTATTAGTGGAGACATGTGCTTGAAGCTGGTGACCCTTTGCTAAGACAAGGGTGGACTCATTGTCCTCTTGGAGGCCCCACACGACATGTGGGATTCAGTGCCACAGTTCCAGAGTCTAAGCGGGGTGTCCACGTGAGTGAGACGGCTAAGTGATACATGTGCCTGCAAAGAGGAATCCTAGGCAGGACCCGAATTCTATGCCTGTAAAAAGCACTTTGGCCCAGATAACACCTGCAAGTGGACACAACTGTCTCATGTGGTCCTTCCATGTCACTCAGATACAAAACCCATCACCACTGAGACTGTCTCCACCTCCTCAGGATAGTCTCAGCTTCTCCAGGGCACTGCCTCCCTGACACCTGTCTACCAGGCCCTTCAATATCATCCGTTGTCCTCCTGGGTCCAGTCGTGACTTCACCTTGGGTCCCCTCCTTTCTGAGCAACACGGTGCTGCTCTTTAAAACCCACCTGTTCCCTTCATGGCAATGGCTCTGGAAAGATGCTTTAGACTCTGACCTCCTGGCCTCTACAGCCAGCCCTGTATTTTCATCTGAATTTGGACACTTGCAGGCTGATGTGCTCTTCCTCCATGTTTACAAACCCCAGATTGCACAGCTGATCTCACGAGGTAGTTCTGTGCATTCATTCACCAGCCCATTTTTCCCTACTGAGCAAACCTGAAAGGACCAACTCAAGAATTAAACAAATGACCTGCTTCAAGCAGACGACCATCAACACCACCATAAGTGGAACACCTGCCAATGCTCTTTCTCGTACCAGCAGTCTGTCGTGTGTTAGAGTTCCCCACACCCTCCATGTGGTCTGGTCACCCACTGCATGACCAAGTCACTCCTATAGGCCTCCCTGTCTGTCCTGAGCCACACACAGCACATCTCTACTTTCCAGTTTGCTGATTTCCCAGAAAATAGATGCCTTTTGATGGAAAACACTTGATTGATGTTCAGCCTCTTATCACACCATCTCATATCCATTAGGATATAGGATGACTAATCTTTAAAGAAAGGAAGGGAGAGAGAGAGAGAAAGAAAGAAAAAGTGTTGAGAAGGGCCTACAGAAATTGCTCTACTTCTGGCAGTAACATAAAAAGCCTTTTGGTCAACAAAACAACACAATCACCTCCAGGCCCCAAAGTAATGTTAGAGTTTAAAGGAAATAGTACCTCTCACTGGATAAGCACAGGTCAGCCGCCCCTTCCAGAGACAAAAGCAAATGGCCAGTGTAGGGATTCAGAATTATGGGAAAATGTGAGATAGGAAGAGGGTGTTCCAGGGCTCTGCACCCCCAAACAAGGTCCTCTTTCATGCTCCCATGTGCAATGCAACATGCTCTGAACCACAGCCCTAAACCCACCCCACTGCTCCTGGCTCTTGTCCCCAGTTCAATCAGACCTAAACCTGCTGATCCTACCTCCAGGATCTCATCAAAGCATCATCCAGTCGCAACTCTCCTCACTCCAACTGCCTCTGGAGTCTCTTCACTGTTGCTGCTCCCAGGTAACCCCCTTCAAAACCACTGGTTTCCACAAGGTAACTGAGTCCCTAATATCTTACCCAGACATGAGCATGCAGGGCCTTCCTGCTCCCTCAGCAAAGAGTCGGGCTTCAGAGGAGGAAGCTCAAGACTCCCATTTGTCTACAGCTTCTCTGGCCTCACTGCCTGCTTGTTCCGGTAACTCCCTTGGACTCCAGGCACTCCAGGCTTCTTGGAGCTCACCAATTAAGCCATTTCCACCCTTGGCACATTCTTTGACCCTCCACAAGGTGGGGTCTGTGTCCCTGGCCCACTAACCTATGCCCAGCAAAATGGACTGTGTGTGCCATTCTGAGACATGCTCAGAAAATACCCCCATGCCACTTGC